AAATTATATTAAGATCTCCAAACGGCTTCACAAAGTTTTCATTTTAACAATCTGGATTCATATATGTAAATGCCATGAGAATATAAAAAATAAATAAAATACAATAAATATAAAATTTATCAATGATAAGCCGATTTTTATTATAGATCTAATAATTGATTTTTGTTTTTTAAATAATGACATACTTTATAAAATTATAGTAAGTTGATAAATTATTATTTTAAATATATATGTATTTTTTTAAAAAAATAGTGAAATATTCCTCTCTAATTTTTTATAGTAAGAGAAATTTAATATATTTTTTCTTATTAATTAAGGTCTCTCAAATTTATTATATACACATTGTTTGTTTGGAAAAATCCACAAAAGACAAAAGGCTATTATGGAAAAATGGTTATAATCAGCTTTTTGGTGAAAAACAGCTTATAAGCAGCTTTTTTGTGAGAGAGGAAGTGAGTTATAATCTGAGAAGTGGATTATAACCCACTTCTCAAAATAGCCCAAAATAGGTTAAAATAGTTAATAAGACAAAATGTCACATCAAATCCATAATCATTTCACTTGTTCTTTTACAAACATTACATCCATCTACAAAAAAAATTAATCATCTTTCAAAATACAAAAATTTTAACATACTAAAGGCTATTTTGGGAAGATGGTTATAATCAATTTTTTTGTGAAAAGCTGTTTATAAGTAGTTTTTTTGTGAGAGAGGAAGTGAGTTATAATCTGGAAAGTAGATTATAACCCACTTCCCAAAATAGGCCTAAAATAATTAAAAACTAAAATAGTAACTTCTCAAACACCCACTATATATACACATCAAAACACCCACACAGAAAGAGATTCATAATCGTGTTAGGGGTTGATTAGGGTGTTCTAAATAAGTACACTTTTGACTTTTTAGACTTAAAAGTTGAGGGGAAAAAAATAGTTGTTTTGAATTACTTTTGGACTTTTTACGAAAAAATGTGTATTAGAAATTTGTATAAATTAATGTATAGGAGAAGCTTGGGCAGAGTAGGCAGTACAGTGGGCAGAGTAGTGTATAGGAGAAGTTTGCCTCATTTTCGAGCATTGAATTAGATTGTGCTGTTCAGCCCGTGAGGGCCTACCACGGGTCCCGTTTTGCTAATCGGAACCGTTAATGTGTAGAGCTCGTTGAATATTATATGCTTGTAAAAAATCATGTTAATCGAATATCAATAGCTAACTGATTAAACTAGGTTTTTGTCAATCGTTAACTTATAATACCATCCATTTTTTATACAAAATTGATTTGATCATGTAGTTAGCGATATCCGATCAACGTGATTTTTTACCGACATATATTACTCGACGAGTTCTACATATTGAACGATTCAGATTATCAAAACGGGACCCGTGATGGGCCCCACGGCCGTACAACACCGTGTTGTTTGTTTCTCTGCTTGTTTCCTTTGTATAAACGGTGAACAGTTAAAGTACAACTCACGTGACATGTGAGTTGTACTTTTTTTTTTTGTAAAAATATTTTTTAATATTTTTTTTAGATAAATAATGATAATTTTTAAATTTTTTTTAGGTATGTCAAATCAGTCCAGAGTATGGACAACTCTGCCGCCACTGGAGGCGGCGATCTTCGATCGTCAGAAGCAGCGACACCTGATTGTAGAAAGTGTACGATTGCTGGTTGAACTCCAAACGACCCCGCTATGTAGCTTGAAATTCTTTGGCACGAATTTGGCTCAACACCAAAAACCAAAATGACGTTGTTTTGGTGTTTTTTTTTTTTTTTTTTTCTTTTTTCCTGTGTTGTTTGCAGAGAGGGAGAATGGAGAAGAAGAAGAAAAGGAAGAAGAAAAAGAAGGGAGAAGAAGAAGGGTGGAAAAGAAGATCGGGAGGAGGAGGAAGGAGGGAGGGGAGGGGGCCATAAAAATGAGGCTGGAGGAGGAGGCAGGGCTGCGCCAGGCTAGCTGCTGCGATGAACTGGACAGGAGGGGGTTGCGACTGCGACTGCGACGATCGGCGAGGCGGTGGTGCGACGATCGGTGAGGAGGTGAGAGGTGGTGCTGCGACGACGGTGGCGAGGCGACTGCGACGGCGGTGGTGCTGCCTCCTCTTCTTTCTTTTCTCCTCTCTTCTTCCTCTCTTCTCTCCCTCTTTCTCCTTTCCTCTTCTCTCTGTTTGTGCAGAGCTCCTTTGCTTGAAAAGGGAAAAAAAATTTCAAGCCGTTTCGAGCCGTAGAGTTTCGAGCTCTGGATCATTTCCGAACTCCAAAATCCCTCTCTCTTTCTATATATACGGAAATATTATGGTATAGAAGAAAATGACATATTTTATGAGTCATGATTAAAAATAATAATAATAATATTTAAGTACAAAAAATAATAAAAATGATGAAAAATTTAAAATAAAGTCGTAACTAGATAAAAAAAATTGACATTTACACACAAGTTTTAATTTATGAACTTATACTCTATTAAATTATAATTAAGATTTTTTAGACCTTCAAGTCTTATTAAATTTTTAATAGTCGGAATTACCCTTCAAACAATGATTGTTAATTATTTATGATTATCTATAAATGAACATGATGATTTGACATTTATTTTGATTTTCAAAACTTTAAAACAACAACTTTTGAATTGAAATTTAAAAAAATATATATATTATGTGCTAAAAAAAAATTAATTCAGTGTGTTTGGTTTGAAATTTTTAGATTAAGTTTTTTAAAAACTGTGTTTTTTGATTTTTGTATTTTTTTGTTTTTAGTGAATATTTTTTAAATTTTAAACATTTTTTTTACTTTTTTAAATGTACCTTACTTAAATGTATCCAAAAAGTAAAAAAATTGTGAAAAAATATTTTAAAAAATTAATAAATACATAAAAATATAAAAAATGTACTGAATTCTCATTTTTTTTTTTGTATTTTTGGTATTTAGTGAATTTTTAAAAGATTTTTTTTAAAAAAATTTACTTTTTAGGTATATTTATGTTAGGTATGTCTAAAAATTAAAAAAATTACTTAAAATATTAAAAAAATAGTAAAAACAAAAAAACACGAAAAGTAAGAAAGTATAATTTTCTGAAAAGTGTTTTTGAAAAATGATAACCAAGCAAGGTATATTTTTTTTTTGAAAATTAAAAATTTTGAATTATTTTTTTGTGCAAAACATTTGTGTTTATAAAGGAGAGTGATGATAGAATATTAATGTGCAAAATTGAAAAAAAAAAAATTTAAATGAAAAAACTGATAATATTCTCTATTTTATTGGATAGTTGAATCAAATCAATAAGTACATAGGCGAAAACATTTAATCTCATGCTCTGTTTTTTTCATCAGTTAGTGAAATAATTATTTGGAACATTACTATGTAAAATTGATAATATTCTTAATTTTAAAAATTGAGAAAAATTGATAATATTTTTAATTTTATTAAATAGAACTTATTGGTTCAAAAAATATTAAATAAGATACGAACTACTATAACATTTATAAATAAGATTTTGAAGTAATTTACTTATAAGAAAATTAGATAATTAAGAATTGATATGATATAAAATGTGTATAATAAAATTCTCCAATATGTATATATGATGTTAGGTTTACATGAATTATTTGCCTCTAAAGTTTTGTTGGGCGCTCTGCTTTAGGCCCACCTCCTTCAACATTAGAGGTGCAAAAATGGTCCCCTTAGTTTTCACTCAAATCTCTCTATGTTTCTATGTTGATTTCACTTTCTTGCATTTCTGTCTCCTGGGTTTATGTATGTTGTTATAAATGTCTTCAATTGCTGAATTTTGATATTTTTAAATTTTGTATATTTCTCTGTGTTTTTTATATGGTTTTATACGGTTTTAAATTTTATTTGAATTGAACAAGAGAGTAGTAAGTGTGTAATGATCGGAAAAAATAAATATGATAATAAAAAGTGACCGGTAAATTTTCACAGACATGAACATACGCACTCAGAGAAATTTCATACGTCAAAAGAATTATAATGTAGTTAGTGAAATTCAAATGCATAGAATAATCTAAATAAGTATATTTTTTGATTTTTTACAAAAAGATATGTAGAAAAACAAAAAGATGATGTGACCGCCAAACAAAAATTAACATGTTAGAGAAATTTCATATCTCAATGAGAGTGTAATGTGGCTAGTGAAAATCAAATTTTTAGAGAAATTCTATCTTTGAAATTTTTCTTCATATATAAATCGTGAAGGAAAATTTATCTGTGTCGAAATTTCACTGTACTACAATTTATTTGTGCTGATTTTTTTTTTTGGTGTCAAAATTTATCTATAAAAATATTAAAAGATTCAATTATTATAAAAATATTACATAAAATATTTATAAAATTTGAATAACAGATATCTTAAATTAGAAACTCTAATTTTTTTATGCCACGATATCGCTTGATCGTACTCATACCACCACTGGCATTGAAAAAATGGATGGAAAAATCGGCGGCGTAAAACACTAAACATCATTAAAAAACCCATCCCCAAACCGGCCTTAATAAAATCCGGCCCAATACCATTGGCCCATCACCTACACATACATATATATATATATATATACTTCACCACCATATGTTACACGAGATATCTTAAATTAGAAACTCTAATTTTTTTAGGCCACGATATCGCTTGATCGTACTCAGACCACCACTGGCATTGAAAAAATGGATAGAAAAATCGTCAAAAAAATTGCTGGCGGCGTAAAACACTAAACATCATTAAAAAGAAAAATGTTTGAGGGTTACAATTTTTGTGGCTCAAATGGCTCAAAATTGTCAAAACGGCGTCATTTTGACAATTTTGAAGTTGTTTTGTACTCAAAACGACGTCATTTTAACAATTTCGAGTCATTTGAGCCACAAAAATTGTGATCCTCAATCGTTGCTGCATTAAAAAACCCATCCCCAAACCGGCCTTAATAAAATCCGGCCCAATGCCATTTGCCCATCACCTACATATATATATATATATATATACTTCACCACCATATGTTATACGCCTCTCTCTCATCAGAAAAACCGAACTCGCCAAAGAGAGCACAGCGAGAGGAAGAACAAAGCTACTCGTCAGTCGGCCGACTCTACAGAGAGAGAGAGATGGCGGACATGGACCTGGACGACCTAGACGGTCCGAGCCAGGTTCCGTCCCGAACCACCAGATTCGCCCCCAAGAACTCCAAACTCAAACCCCAGCCCAAACTCAAGTTGAAGTCCGAACCACTCTCATCACCAGACCAACATCCCCAAGACTTCGATTCCATTCCTCTCAAGAAGAAGGAGGAACTCGACTCCCATCCACCACCACCATTTGATTCCACCACCGCCAAGACTGAATACGCCGACGGTGCGGTCAAAATGGACTTCGAAGCCAAGCCAGAATGCGGCGAAGTCAAGGACGATCCAATGGAAGAAGACGACGATGGCAGAGATAGAGTTGTTCGCGAAATTGACGTTTTCTTCACTCCTCAAATCGATTCCAACACTCAGGCAATTCGATATGTATTTAATTTATGTTTGTATACGTGTTCTATGTATTGGTGGTGACTTTTGTTCTATTTCTTCAGCTTTACGTTATGCAATATCCACTTAGGCCGTGTTGGCGTCCATACGAATTGGATGATCGTTGTGAAGAGGTGTGCATTGTTTGTTTCCTTCTCTTTGTATTCACTATGATGATGATGATGATGATTTTATGTTGTTTAATTTTACGGGATGGAACTCGATGACTACGTTAAGATAAGATAAGGCTAAATGATAATGGGAAGCCGGAAATTTAAGAGAGTTAGCTTGGATTTTGCTTTGTGTCGCAGGTTAGGGTCAAACCTACGAGTACGGAGGTTGAGGTCGATTTGTCAATTGATGTTGATTCCAAGAATTATGACACTGATGCAGATCCCAGAGTGAGGATGACAAAGCAGGTCATTCCAATTTATGCAATTCAATTTGTCTTTGCTTACCTCACTATGCTAAGTTGTTGAGCTATTTAGATTGTTTTGTGTAGAACACTTTGAAATTTGCTCTTAAGATGTCCACTTTCACTTTTTTTTTTTTTTTTTTTTTATTGGGAATAATAAATCTATTGTTCTGTATTTTCTTTTTGTTCCTGGATTTAAATTATTTTTCATTTGTTTGCTTGCCATGAAAGATATGGAGGATAAAAAATAGATGATGAAAAAAATGGGAGAATTTGTTTGGAAATTATTTTTCCTTTTTTTTTTATATTTTTATTCTTGTTTTTAGGATTTCCAATTAGATTTTTAATTTTATATTTATTGAATTTGGATGGAAAACACAAAGGAATTCCATCCCCCCTTTAATTTTCTTTTGCTTTTACATCCCATGTTTCAGGGATAACTTAAAAATAGAGCCTAATGCTCTATCTGGCTCACTGGAATAAGTTGGAATTGAATGGAATGGAATAGAATGATCATTCCTTCCTTAGGCTGACCATTCCGTTGAAATGATGAATGATGATTCCATTTGTAATGCACTTTATCATAATTTTTTAGTCAACCAAACATGGGAATAAACATTTTGATGGAATGATCATTTCATTCCGTTTCATTCCAATGAATCACACATTACCTAAAGGTTTTCAAATGCATGAAAATAAGGCAAAGTAGATAAGAGCAATTGAAAAAAATAAAAAATAAACAATCCAAAAGCTTAATGCATTTTAGATATACACACGAAACTTGATTCGCTTGGATCTCAACAACTAATTGAAGACTTAGCCATTCCAATTGGAACCAGGCATCGTCATTTTTGACATCTTGCCTTGTCTAGGGTGTAGTTAGCATGCGTTCTTAAGCAACTGCATATTTCTTGAATCTTAATGTATCCAATATTTGCAGTACCTTATCCCTACAGGTGTTGTTGAGTAGTTTGAATTTGTCTCACATATATGCTGAATGTTGTTTGGTGTTAGAACTAGTGTGGTTATAACAAACCTTAAAGGTCTAGTTTCTTTCAACTACTATGTAAAAAATGGTATTTAGCTTCAATACAATACATTAATACCTTTAAATGGGAAGTAATTGGTGATTGGTAGAGGGACTGACAACGAAATTTTGTTATCAATCGATAGAGGTATACATGTCACTGGGTTCCTTCATGTCTTTATTTTTCTGTGCAATTAATGTGGGTGCTTTTCTGGTTAGACCAGAAGTATCGTGAAGTTCAAAATTGCATGGGTTAAGTGCATAATACATAACAAGTACATAAATTTATTTTTACATGCATGGTATTTGGCTTGAATCTCACTCAAATGATTTTTTTCAATATTTTTGGTGCTGTTTTATGGAGTATAATTTTGATGCTATGTAGAGGGGTCATATATTTTTTTCAAAGGATATTCTCTAGTTATGTGCCACTTGCATTGTTTGGTAATCTTAACTTACCAGCGTGTTGTGTTTTATTATTGTTGTTGTTGTTGTTGGTTTTTTTTTACTGTTTTTTCCTGTTTTGTTCATGTTTCTTTTTTTTGCCCTTTTTATGTGAGGGAAATTGCATCAGTTCGTCACTAGTACATAATTTTGATGCTATATAGAGGTGCCAGATCTGTGATTTAAAGGAAATCTCTAGTTATGTGCCACTTGCATTGTTTGGTAATCTTAACTTCCCTGCGTATTGCATCAGCTCATATTTTGATCCTTGTGCTTGCAACTTATTTTGCTCCACGAAGGTTAGATAATATTGTATAACCTTTTCATTCTTGATTACTTTTAGACTTTGTCGTCTTCAATGAGGCCAACATGTGCAACTGGCTATGCTGTTGGGGTGCTAATGGGCAATAAGGTATACATTTTAATCGCATTGATACTTCTTTGATTTCCAACTTTGTCATGTTTAATAACCCATTATTATACATTAAAATTTCATTGGATTTACTTGAACTAGTTATTCGTAGTGCTGCTAGCATTCTATTGAAATTGCTGTTTTAGGCCAAGCAGGTATATCTTGCTAGCCATGCTGCTTATATTTTCATGAAGGTTCCACAGCCAATTAGTTTGTTTTGTCAATGGGTTGCTTGATATGCTTCCAAATCTTGTTCTGTTAAATTGTGAACTTTGTTGACAAAAAATGGCAAGTAATACTGTCATTTCATGCGAGGAACCTCTAATCTTTGTAATAGGTAAGATTTGCTGCTCATTTTCTCAGTCAGATGATGCCAAATTAAGCAATTAAAGGTGCATTCAGATTGGCATTTTCAATGTGGAAGAGAAAATATGCATGCTGAAGTAATGCAAAATCATGGTCTGCAAAACTTCCATGTGGGGTTTTGAAATTGTCAAACTATTTCAAAATGTATATGGTGGAGTTTCCTAGATAATATTTACATCAAATTTGTATAAGTGCTAAAGTGGCTTTCCGTAGATTTCTACTGGGATTTTTCAAGTTTACATCCCATGTTTCAGGGATAACTTAATTTGCATGTTTTTAATAAGGCCCACCCCTTGGCCATTCTATGGGCCTCATTTAGAATTTTTGTTTGACGTTTTTGTGGCGAGCTGTTGGAATACAGGACATATAAACTCCAGCATTATAGTGAGCGATAAAAATGTCAAGTTATGCTTTAGAACAGATCAGGAATGTCCATGAGGTGGTAGTAGGCAGGGTTTTGACCAGAGAACTATGGGTTATAATACAACTTAATAAAAAAATTATGGTTTATAGTGTGGGATTGTCAAGTTTTGATATGTTTTTGTAACAAAGCTTGCATAGTAGTTGCAAATAAATATAGTTTGTATAATATTTATATTTGTTTAAGACATCATTTTCTTTTCCATCTTGCAGTTGCACATCAATCCCATTCGTGCAGTTGTGCAGCTGCGACCTTCAATGGAACATCTCAAGTCTGGTGGCTCTAAAAAGAAGAACAGTGGTACAAGCAACGCAGATGTTACTATTAAGTCAGAAGATCTGCAGGATGAAAAATCTGCAGGACCATCAAAGAAACAGGTAATTTTTTATCTGATATATCATGCTACTGAAGTCATCTTATTCAGCTTTGTTTTCTTTAATTTACAGTTCCATTTGTCATTTAGATATCTTTATTCTTTTACAAATAATGATAGAGTGATTAGTTTTTTTGATTGGCAAAAAGAAGACTTTATTAATGAAATAAATGAAAAATTACATCAATAAAGAGGAGCTTGGAGCTAGAACAAGCTCCAACCTCCTAGTTGGTGAGAAACCAACGAGCTAAGCAAACAGAGCAAAAAAGAACTAGAAAAACCAGAAAGATTAGGCACTACAGCACCAAAACAGATCAAGCACTACAGCACTCCTTTAAGCACCAAAACAAATGAGGCCCTACAACAGCCCGTCCAAGCACCAAAGCAGAACAGCAGCCCTTCCAAGCACGAAAACAGAACAGGCAGAGAAGATTAACCTTGAACTGTACTGCCATGAATTTAAACAACCCAACAATCATGCTAAACACATTGCCTTGAACTACAGCAGCCCTTCATCCAATCCAAGCACCAAGATTGTTTAAACCAACACAGCAGCAAAACAGATCAAACAGATCAGACACATCAGCACACAGCCATGAGCAAAACTTGGTGCTTGGAGCACATCAGCAAAACAGAACAGGCACTACAGATCAACACATCAGAACAGAACACCCTCTAAATCAGATGCACCAGAACAGAACAACAACCAAAAACAGCAGTACACAGGTTAACACCCTTAGTGCATGATGCAGAATTTCACATTTTACAAATTAAACACCAAATCATCAACCGAAAAACAAAAGGACGGACTATAGGCTCCGAACCACAATGCAATCCATGTTTTGATAAGATCACACAACTTTTCGAAATCCAACTGCGACTCATTAAAAATGATTTCATTCCTCTGCTTCCATAAAGACCAAAGCACTGCCAGTGGGATTATCCTCCAGATTACCTTCAATCTGTTGTTGCATCTAAACCCAGTCCACCATTGAATAAGACCCACCACTGACCCTGGCTGCACCCAAGATACACCCCACCATCCAATAATATTAGACCAAACTCTCCAACTAAACGTACAACACAGCAGCACATGAGATACAATTTCCCTTTCATTCTTGCAAAATACATAGTTAACATCAGAGTTGGCACTTAGGACTCCAATTCTTTGCAAATAAGTAGAAGTCTTCATCCTCCCTTTCCACACTAGCCAAGCAAAAAATTGCACTTTCGAAGGTCTAACATTCTTCTAGATGAGATCCACTACTTTTGCAGGCATAGTAGATGGTAACTCACTCCACTTGTAGGCAGACGAAACGGTAAAGGTACCAGACTTGTCTGCAGCCCAATACAACCCATCTAACACACCATTTCTGAGCTCTGGAGCAGTTTGTAGCAACTCCTTCATCCTCCTCAACTCTTCAAGTTCCCATTGAAACAATGCTCTTCTGAAAACCAAATCCCACTCCTCATTTCCATTGCTCTTGCTCTTAGTCACTGCCACTGATATACCTTTATGCATAGACACAGAGAATAATCTAGGAAATAAATTCTTTAAACAGTCATTACCAACCCACAGATCCAACCAAAAACTTATGAGCCTCCCATCCCCAATATTAATCTTTGAGTTGGCCTTAAATAACTCCAGCAACTCTGGGCACTTAATAGCAACCCTCAAAATGTCCCTCCACACCGTAGAATATCTGGAATTAGCATCTTGATCTGGCCACCTAGACCCACTATGTTGTGGGTACTTGCTAAGAATTACTTGCTTCCAAATAGAGTCAGATTCACTTCCAAACCTCCACCACCATTTGAGAAGAAGACATTCATTCATGATTCTCACCTTTCTAATGCCAAGACCCCCGTTACTTTTGCTTTGAGTGATTTCCTCCCACTTTACCATGTGAATTTTCCTTCTAAGTTCATCACCCCTCCAAAGAAATTTGGACTAAATTCTATCAATCACTTTGGCTATCCCTTCAGGCATTTTAAACAAAGATAAGTAAAACACTGGTAGTGAAGATAGCACAGACTTGATCATTGTCAACCGACCAGCGAAGGAAAGAAGCCTACCCTTTCAGGAAGCAAGTTTTGATTTGAAATTATCAAGGACCTTCTCCTCCTTGGATTAGCCCCCAATGGCATCCCTAAATACTTCAAAGGTAGCCTATGATGCAAGCAGTTCAGTATGGCAGCAAAATCTTTGGTAAGTTCATCATTAATTCCAACACCACACACTACACTCTTGTGATAGTTTATCTTCAACCCAGACAAGATTTCAAAACATCTCAATATTCTTTTGATATTAAGCACCTCCTCCCTTTTTGCCTCATAGAATAAGATTGTGTCATCAGCAAATTGTAGGTGAGTAATAGTAAAATCATTTGAACCAACTGATGCACCCTTAATCAATCCTGCCTGGACAGCTCTATGTATCATAATATTAAGACCCTCAGCTACAATGTTAAAGAGAAAAGGGGATAAGGGATCACCTTGTCTAAGTCCTCTTTGAGGACTAACCTCAATTGTAGGTGATCCATTCACCAGAATAGAGATTTTGGCAGTTGAGACACATTCCTTAATCCATTTGATCCATTTTGAACCAAATCCAAAGTTTGATAACATGGAGAAGAGGAACTCCCAATTTATTGAATCATATGCTTTCTCGAAATCGAGCTTTAAAATAAGACCTTTCTTATGCTTCTTCTTCCAATCATCAACAATCTCCTTAGCAACCAGGATACCATCAAGAATACTTCTACCCCCTATAAAAGCTGATTGAGACTCACTAATGATCTCAGGTAAAACAACTTTGAGTCTACTGGATAAAACTTTGGAAAGCACTTTGTACAATGATCCAATAAGACTGATAGGCCTAAAATCACTAAGAGAATAAGGATTTTCATTCATTGGAAGCAAGGCTACAAAGGAGCTATGGAACTCACTCATGAACTACATGTTGGTATTAAACTCACTCATGAACTGCATCACATCCCCTTTAATTATTTGCCAACACTTCTGGAGCATCAACTTATTCCCATCACAATTCTTAAGAGCTGCCACAACTTCAGATTCTGTGAACTCAGCTTCCAAAGCAACACGCGCCTCTTCATCCCCAATAGACTTAAATGGACCATATAAACTTGGCCTATCAAACCATGATTCTGAAAACTGCCTCTGAAAGTGATTGAACACTTCGGTTCTTATTTCCTTAGGATCTTCAGTCAAGGCCCCATTAATCTCAATTGAGCACAGTGCATTCCTATTCCGTCTCATGGAGGCCATGACATGGAAAAATTTGGTATTTCTATCTCCTTTTAATGACCAGTTAGCTCTAGACATTTGCAACCATAACCATTCAACCATTTTACTCAAGTTCCATGCTTCACCTTTTAACTCCCTAAGTGTAGATCTCTCTGCATCAGTGAGTAATCTTTGTTCAGCCACCAAATCCAAGACATGTATCTCCTCCTCCAGTTGCTTGAGTTTAAAGTCCACCTTGCCAAACACCTCAAGGTTCCATCTTTTCAGTGCTGCTTTAAGTAATCTCAGTTTCCGTAAACATTTGAATCCAGCCCAACCATTTACATGAGATTCAGCCCAAATTTTCTGCACAAAAATCTTAAATACCACCACACCTTTGGGAACAACCCACCCTCTCAGTTAATTTCCTAACTTCATTAAAATCACCCCCCAAGCACCAAGGGTTGATAAAACTTCTCTTTAAATTCTTCAAAGTTTCCCATAATCCCTTCCTATTAGCACCATCAGTTGGGCCATAAACATTCACAATAACACAAGCTAGACTTGTAAAAAGAGTGCCAGACAAAATGATAAAATACTTGTTACAACAGCAGTCCAGAAGTTGAAATACTTGTGGACACATAGTAGTCCACCAGCTGCACCCTGTGAGTCCACAGCCATATAAGCCATTTGGTCCCCAGGCCAATAAGATCTGACAAATTCCTCAGTTATAGCAAGTCTCTTTGTTTCCTGAAACAGTGCCACATCCACCTTCCTTTTAAATAGAAGTTTTTTGATCTTTCTCCTTTTAATGGACTTGCCTAACCCTCTAACGTTCCAAGATAAGAGCTTCATTAAAACAAATTTACGCACCAAAAACTCCACAGCAGGTACAGATTATTCTGCCTTGCTGCCCTTTTTACCCAGCACCTCCTTATCCTTAACTTCCAGTTCCATCAATTTACTAAGTACTTCCTCAACCTTACCTACATTTCAGCCCAAGCAACTTTCCTATCTTCAGAGACGCTTCTGCCTCATTAAGGAGCAACTGACCAGAACCCGATTTGCTTGCCATGGACAAAGAAATAGCTGCAGCTGCCGACCTGAATATAGCCCCTTTCTTAAAGTTCATCACTGATCCAACCCTTATTTTTATGTTTTCTTTTTTCTTCCTCTGATATTTCACCATCCCTTTACCTTTCTCTTTTGTGGTATTTTTCCTTGTTTGATCTACTACTGCCGTGTAACATGTTGCTACTCCGTGGGGCTCCTTATCCACACTGTCATGGGTTACCTTTCCCTTACTAGTTTGGACTTCATCCTCCTCTGTTGGCTGATCCTTTGGATCAATTAACTCAGAAGATCTATGGCCCAGAATGTTACCACACTGTAAGACATGGGCCTTACTTAATAACACCTCTATATTAAGCCCAAGTACATCTTTTTCTGGCCCACTAAGACTCTTCATAAAACCTGTAAGAGCATCATCTTCTATAATCTGGTTACCTTCATTTTGAATCTGAATAAGAGTTGGCCCTGATTTGACTGACTGAAACCCGCATGCTTCACCGCCACCTCCAGGTTGCTTGTGCAAGCAGCCCACCTGACCTATCGACATGATAGTCTCCTCAACCCTAGACATACTTAGCTCCCTCAGTTGTCCATTAGTGGCTGTATGGTCATCATATCCTACCCTCGGCCCCCTTGCCTCCACAGCACCTGTGTTGTCCAGCACACCACCAACGTGGCCCTCCACATCAGTTTCATCTTCACCCTTCTTGCTCCCCACAACAGATCTCTGCTCTTGATCCTGTTCGTCACCATTTGAATTTGAATTTTCCGTTTGGGGCTGTTCACTATAACATTTGCATTGCTTGTATGTCACCTCTGAAATCACCACTTGTTCTTCACAAACCTTGACTGGGAAGTCGATCCCCTTGCATTGCAGAATAATTGTTGTGTTTGTGGACTCCATACACTTAGTAGCAATTCTCACCTTTCCACTGTGAAAAGACGTCATTCTGGATCTGTCCTCATCAATGCCTATAACTTCCCCCCATGCCCTTCCAATGCTACTAAACGTTTTGCTACTCCAGAGATTCAGGAGAACACCATAACAAGTAAACCATACAGATCTTTCTTGATCAAGAATCATCCCCTGCTGCCATACCTTGACTGATTCGCTCCATGACTGAATCCACCCCTCCATTGATTTGAGCTTCTCTTTCATGGTAACCTCTGATTCAAACGTTAGCACAATATCTCATCCCCCTCCATCTCTAATGTAAACATTACCCATGCCTCTGTTCTTCAATTCCTCTTTGAACTCCGCCGCAAGAATTTGAGATTTCAATCGAATAATCACACTGTCATACAACCATCCATTACCCTCCTCGTAAGCTTGTATACTGATGTTTGAATTTGAAGCCAGCCCTGGACCACTCAATATTTGAGCATAAGACTTTCTCCTTTGTAACATATTCGGAGCTCTGCTGGTTATGGCAATAGCCCTTCTTCCAACTGATGTGGTTACTGATTTCTGGTTATCCTCCTTTCCTTGAACAAAATCTGCTATCTTCACTTTCAGAGCTCTGTTATCACACCAGATGCCATGAGCTTTTTGGACCGCCATATTCGCTGCTACTGGACAAGCGTAGCGGACAAACCCAAATCTTGATCTAGTCAACTTTCTCCTTTTGTTAGGGATGAACACATCCTTCACTATACCATAGTTGGTGAATATGTGATACAACCCTTTTGGATCCATAGATTCTGGTAGATTATCCACAAAGATCGTATGGATCTCGTTACCCAGATCTGAGTTTCTACCTCCCTTACCACCATGCTTACACAGAATCGGTTTCCACCCTCTATCTTCCATTTCTTTTGTTTGTTGACTAACATAATGATAGAGTGATTAGTGGTGACAACATTGAGTGCATGTCATGGTATTTTGGGGTGTTGAATATTTGAGTTTATTTAATTTGATCCATATCCATTCCTTGGTTGTTCTCTATAAAGCCACCAGTTCCAACTATGAGATATATCTTTTTTTGTGCAGAACAAGCTACCAGCAACTTCAAACGAACATAATAATGATCTTGGAGAGGTAAAATGAATGATCTTCATCATCACTATCACTGCTCTTGTTTATTGAATTTCTTTTTGCATTTTTTTTTTCTTTTCAGGGTTGGGTTGCACTCAAGTACCATCCTTCAAAGAGTGATTTCTCTGTCAGATATCTGGAAAAAATGGCAGTAGATGAAGGCTCTCCTATACACTTTTCAATGAGCCCGTATGCATTTAGGAAATGTTCTCGAGTGGTTTGACTTTATGGTAGAATAATGTGCATGGTAGTTGTATTACCTTTTAATCCATTTTATTGTTATTTCAATCTGAAGGTACGATTATGTTAGCTCCTTGTGTCCTGGTGCATTTAATGGCAACATCAAACCCAAAGGTCCTCCCAAAAGGTATGCTCATACTGTTGCGTAATTTTGTTTCTCTTAAATCTCCAGGAGTCTTGACATTTGAAATTTTATGCACTTCTAGGAAATAAATTCTTTAAACAGTCATTACCAACCCACAGATCCAGCCAAAAACTTATGAGCCTCCCATCCCAATATTAATCTTTGAGTTGGCCTTAAATAACTCCAGCAACTCTGGGCACTTAATAGCATCCCTCAAAATGTCCCTCCACACCGTCAACCGACCAGCGAAGGAAAGAAGCCTACGCTTCCAGGAAGCAAGTTTTGATTTGAAATTATCAAAGACCTTCTCCTCCTTGGATTAGCCCCCAATGGCATCCCTAAATACTTCAAAGATAGCCTATGATGCAAGCAGTTCAGTATGGCAGCAAAATCTTTGGTAAGTTCATCATTAATTCCAACACCACACACTACACTCTTGTGATAGTTTATCTTCAACAAGATTTCAAAACATGTCAATATTCTTTTGATATTAAGCACCTCCTCCCTTTTTGCCTCACAGAACAAGATTGTGTCATCAGCAAATTGTAGGTGAGTAATAGTAAAATCATTTGAACCAACTGATGCACCCTTAATCAATCCTGCCTGGACAGCTCTATGTATCATAATATTAAAACCCTCAGCTACAATGTTAAAGAGAAAAGGGGATAAGGGATCACCTTGTCTAAGTCCTCTTTGAGGACTAAACTCAGTTGTAGGTGATCCATTCACCAGAATAGAGATTTTGGCAGTTGAGACACATTCCTTCATCCATTTGATCCATTTTGAACCAAATCCAAAGTTTGATGACATGGAGAAGAGGAACTCCCAATTTATTAAATCATATGCTTTCTCGAAATCGAGCTTTAAAATAAGACCTTTCTTATGCTTCTTCTTCCAATCATCAACAATCTCCTTAGCAACCAGGATACCATCAAGAATACTTCTACCCCCTATAAAAACTGATTGAGACTCACTAGTGATCTTAGGTAAAACAACTTTGAGTCTATTGGATAAAACTTTGGAAAGCACTTTGTACAATGATCCAATAAGACTAATAGGCCTAAAATCACTAAGACAAGAAGGATTTTCATTCCTTGGAAGCAAGGCTACAAAGGAGCTATTAATACCGAGGACCAACTTTGAGTTGGTATGGAACTCACTCATGAACTGCATCACATCCCCTTTAATTATTTCCCAACACTTCTGGAGCATCATAATGTTAAAACCATCAGGGCCAGGGGCCTTATTCCCATCACAATTCTTAAGAGCTGCCACAACTTCAGATTCTGTGAACTCAGCTTCCAAAGCAACACGCGCCTCTTCATCCCCGATAGACTTAAATGGACCATATAAACTTGGCCTATTAAACCATGATTCTGAAAACTGCCTCTGAAAGTGATTGAACACTTCGGTTCTTATTTCCTTAGGATCTTCAGTCAAGGCCCTATTAATCTCAATTGAGCACAGTGCATTCCTATTCCGTCTCGTGGAGGCCATGACATGGAAAAATTTGGTATTTCTATCTCCTTTTAATGACCAATTAGCTCTAGACTTTTGCAACCATAACCATTCAACCATTTTACTCAAGTTCCATGCTTCACCTTTTAACTCCCTAAGTGTAGATCTCTCTGCATCAGTGAGTAATCTTTGTTCAGCTACCAAATCCAGGACATGTATCTCCTCCTCTAGTTGCTTGAGTTTAAAGTCCACCTTGCCAAACACTTCAAGGTTCCATCTTTTCAATGCTTCTTTAAGTAATCTCAGTTTCCTTAAACATTTGAATCCAGCCCAACCATTTACATGAGATTCAGCCCAAATTTTCTGCACAAAAATCTTAAAATTCGGATGAAGACACCAGTCATTTAGAAACCTAAATGGCTTTGGACCCCAATCTCTTTCATCTTCCATCATTAAAATAGGACAATGATTCGAGAGCCTTCTTGGTAATCCCCACAGTTTGAAGTTAAATTTTTGCAACCAATCTGGGCTGAGTAAAAATCTGTCCAGCCTACTCCATTTAGCACCATTTTGAGAGTTACACCAAGTGAACTTTCTCCCCAACATTGGTAAGTCACACACTTCCAAGTTATCAATTAGCTCGTTAAAATCCTTCATACCACCACACCTTTGGGAACAACCCACCCTCTCAGATAATTTCCTAACCTCATTAAAATCACCCCCCAAGCACCAAGGGTTGATAAAACTTCTCTTTAAATTCTTCAAAGTTTCCCATAATCCCTTCCTATTAGCACCATCAGTCGGGCCATAAACATTCACAATAACACAAGCTAGACTTGTAAAAAGAGTGCCAGACAAAATGATAAAATACCTGTTACAACAGCAGTCCAGAAGTTGAAACACTTGTGGACACACAGTAGTCCACCAGCTGCACCCTGTGAGTCCACAGCCATATAAGCCATTTGGTCCCCAGGCCAACAAGATCTGACAAATTCCTCAGTTATAGCAGGTCTCTTTGTTTCCTGAAACAGTGCCACATCCACCTTCCTTTTAAATAGAAGTTTTTTGATTTTTCTCCTTTTAATTGACTTGCCTAACCCACTAACGTTCCAAGATAAGAGCTTCATTAAAACAAATTTACGCACCAAAAACTCCACAGCAGATACAGATTATTCTGCCTTGCTACCCTTTTTACCCAGCACCTCCTTATCCTTAACTTCCAGTTCCATTAATTTACTAAGTACTTCTTCATACTTACCTTTACATTTCAGCCCAAGCAACTTCCCTATCTTCAGAGACGTTTCTGCCTCATTAAGGAGCAGCTGACCAGAACCCGATTTGCTTACCATGGACAAAGAAATAGCTGCAGTTGCCGACCTGAATATAGCCCCTTTCTTGAAGTTCATCACTGATCCAACCCCTATTTGTATGTTTCCTTTTTTCTTCCTCTGATATTTCATCATCCCTTTACCTTTCTGTTTTGTGGTATTTTTCCTTGTTTGATCTACCATTGCCGTGTAACATGTTGCTGCTCCGTGGGGCTCCTTATCCACACTGTCATGGGTTACCTTTCCCTTACTAGTTTGGACTTCATCCTTCTCTGTTGGTTGATCCTTTGGATCACTTAACTCAGAAAATCTATGGCCCAGAATGTTACCACACTGTAAGACATGGGCCTTACTTAATAACACCTCTATATTAAGCCCAAGTACATCTTTTTTTGGCCCACTAAGACTCTTCATAAAACCTGTAACAGCATCATCTTCTATAATCTGGTTACCTTCATTTTGAATCTGAATAAGAGTTGGCCCTGATTTGACTGACTGAAACCCGCATGCTTCACCGCCACCTCCAGGTTGCTTGTGCAAGCAGTCCACCTGACCTATTGACATGATAGTCTCCTCAACCCTAGACATACTTAGCTCCCTCAGTTGTCCATCAGTGGCTGTATGGTCATCATATCCTACCCTCGGCCCCCTTGCCTCCACAGCACCTGTGTTGTCCAGCACACCACCAACGTGGCCCTCCACATCAGCTTCATCTTCACCCTTCTTGCTCCCCACAACAGATCTCTGCTCTTGATCCTGTTCGTCACCATTTGAATTTGAATTTTCCGTTTGGGGTTGTTCACTATAACATTTGCATTGCTTGTATATCACCTCTGAAATCACCACTTGTTCTTCACAAACCTTGACTGGGAAGTCGGTCCCCTTGCATCGCAGAATAATTGTTGTGTTTATGGACTCCATACACTTAGTAGCAATTCTCACCTTCCCACTGTGAAAAGACGTCATTCTAGATGTGTCCTCATCAATGCCTATGACTTCCCCCCATGCCCTTCCAATGCTACTAAACGTTTTGCTACTCCAGAGATTCAGGGGAACACCATAACAAGTAAACCATACAGATCTTTCTTGATCAAGAATCATCCCCTGCTGCCATACCTTGACTGATTTGCTCCATGACTGAATCCACCCCTCCATTGATTTGAGCTTCTCTTTCATGGTAACCTCTGATTCAAACGTTAGCACAATATCTCTTCCCCCTCCATCTCTAATGTAAACATTACCCATGCCTCTGTTCTTCAATTCCTCTTTGAACTCCACCGCAAGAATTTGAGATTTCAATCGAACAATCACACTGTCATACAACCATCCATTACCCTCCTCGTAAGCTTGTATACTGATGTTTGAATTTGAAGCCAGCCCTGGACTGGACCACTCAATATTCGAGCATAAGACTTTCCCCTTTGTAACATATTCGGAGCTCTGCTGGTTATGGCAATAGCCCTTCTTCCAACTGATGTGGTTATTGATTTCTGGTTATCCTCCTTTCCTTGAACAAAATCTGCTATCTTCACTTTCAGAGCTCTGTTATCACACCAGATGCCATGAGCTTTTTGGACCGCCATATTCGCTGCCACTGGACAAGCGTAGCGGACAAACCCAAATCTTGATCTAGTCAACTTTCTCCTTTTGTTGGGGATGAACACATCCTTCACTATCCCATAGTTGGTGAATATGTGATACAACCCTTTTGGATCCATAGATTCTGGTAGATTATCTACAAAGATCATATGGATCTCGTTACCCAGATCTGAGTTTCTACCTCCCTTACCACCATGCTTACACAGAATCGGTTTCCACCCTCTATCTTCCATTTCTTTTGTTTGTTGACTAACATAATGATAAGAGTGATTAGTGGTGACAACATTGAGTGCATGTCATGGTATTTTGGGGTGTTGAATATTTGAGTTTATTTAATTTGATCCATATCCATTCCTTGGTTGTTCTCTATAAAGCCACCAGTTCCAACTATGAGATATATCTTTTTTTGTGCAGAACAAGCTACCAGCAACTTCAAACGAACATAATAATGATCTTGGAGAGGTAAAATGAATGATCTTCATCATCACTATCACTGCTCTTGTTTATTGAATTTCTTTTTGCATTTTTTTTTTCTTTTCAGGGTTGGGTTGCACTCAAGTACCATCCTTCAAAGAGTGATTTCTCTGTCAGATATCTGGAAAAAATGGCAGTAGATGAAGGCTCTCCTATACACTTTTCAATGAGCCCGTATGCATTTAGGAAATGTTCTCGAGTGGTTTGACTTTATGGTAGAATAATGTGCATGGTAGTTGTATTACCTTTTAATCCATTTTATTGTTATTTCAATCTGAAGGTACGATTATGTTAGCTCCTTGTGTCCTGGTGCATTTAATGGCAACATCAAACCCAAAGGTCCTCCCAAAAGGTATGCTCATACTGTTGCGTAATTTTGTTTCTCTTAAATCTCCAGGAGTCTTGACATTTGAAATTTTATGCACTTAAAAATCCTTGTAATCAGGACTCTTTTGTGGCTCTGAAATTTCGAGTTAATTGGGTTTCCCTTGTATGGGCAAAGATTACTGATTGTGTGTCTCTGAAATTTCGAGTTAATTGGGTTTCCCTTGTATGGGCAAAGACTACTGATTCTGAACAGTAAATGTAACTAAATTTTTTTATCAGTGTTCTATTTTTCCGGAGATCCAAACAAATCATTATTGCTCATCTGGAAGTCTGAATTATTTTTAATTTGGTAATCATTCTGCTTCAACTTTATCTGTCTGGCCCATATTATAGGTCACCCCGCTGCATGAATGGGATGTGGAATAGAAGTAATGTGTTATTATTGAAATTATAAGCATATTTGATTGAGCCATTCTGAATTTTGCATTCTTAAACTCCCTGCTAAAAAATAAATATGTCAACAACAGCATTTATTTTTTAATATAGAAATTAATTCTTTGTGCGTTTATCTCATGATTTTTTTTTTCATTGCTTATTGGGCAGAGCTGTAACATTCCACATACCTGTTTTCAGATTTAGATTTTTAAAGTTGTGAATGGTTGGCTGGTGTTTCAGGTTTTTGCTTTCATTGCCACTGGAAGAACGTTTTAAGACATGGCTTCGTGAGGTTTGTATTCAAGATTGTAAATATGCATTTTATGATGGTGATAAATTGCAATTATGTTTGTCTTGCCTGTAAGGGTAAAGTTGTAAAATTCACTATTTATGTAATTGATGTAGATAAATTAATTTATGCACGTGCAGTCTGTGTGGCACCACTTCTAGTAAATGATCACGTGCCCCGTTTGTTCACATGGTTTTGTGAGGATTTTAGCCGCATACTCAATAGTGTATGATACCCTCGTACACCAGGTAACAAACGAAACAAACCATCCCAGGGAAGTATTTTTAAAGGGAGAAATTGAATCCAAATAGACTTTTTGCATATATATAGAAATTTGGATCAATAGAGAGGATTATTTTCTTAGAGTGAAAAAGAGGTGGAGATTTGTATATATGGAGAGAAAGCTAGGGTTATTTTGTAGAGTGAGAAAGAGGGGTAACTAGTGAACTTATTTTAGTCAAAGTAATTATCTCTATTAAGCCAACTAACAATTAATAAAGGAAAAAGACAACCAAAAAAAAAAGTGTCTTCTGATTTCCATTATTGACAATTTGACATTTACTTAAATCTACCTCATGGGCAACATCTTGTAAATGTTTCATACCATGCTTCTGTTCCCATTCCATGTACCATAATGTTTAGTGTTTTAACTTTATTCACTGTTGGATAATTGCTAATGAACACACTATTTATCAATTTTGGTTGTGCTTGCATGTAATTGACACGTGCTGGTGTTCATTTGTAGTTACATTATTATGCCAAAGCTGATTCCTGAGTTTGTGTCTTTCTTACATTGTTGCTTGGAACGTGGATTGTTTTGGTTCGAGGAATGGGAACTAGAACATGATATGCCACATGCTCTAAAATGTGGTATGATAGGGGTAGGTAGTCTTGTATAAATTACAGTATTAGAAAGGTGCCTCTTATTGTTAGAACAATTTCCCTTAAACACATTTCTAGGAGTATTATAGCCCATTTTTAATATTTTGTTTTACCAAAACTCCATTCTCCTTACATTTTAATTCATTTATACTAGATTTTTTTTATCCCAAAGAAAACTTTAAGAAAATAAAGATAAAATTTTGGAATCGCTTTGGCTCTCTAAATTCAGCGTTTTGGAATGAAAGTATATCATATTTTGGAACGTGTGCTCCAAAACATAAATCGCTAAGGTATTATCATTTTCTGGTAACACTGGATTGGATTTATGCTAGTGCCCCCTATTTTGTGAAAGTAGTAATCACTTGGAGACTTGGGGAGCTGGTTAGAAGGACAAATACTCCTAGATAAAGGTTAAAAAATTCGTAGTGGCTTAAGGATTTGCAAAATTTGGAAATGTTTATTTTGTAGTTGTATGAAATGTATGATGAGGATTCTGAGGATGATGTTTCTTCAAGGTTTTTATCCTTATTTTTACAGTCATTTTAGATCGTCTAGAGGTACTAATTTGTCAGTATTTTGAATTTAGGCTTGAAAATTTTCATTGTCATTATGTTTATATTTAATTGTTGGTTATTTTTTTGTCATTTTGGCCAAGATTGTGCATTATCTCAGTGTTTATCCAATTTTGTCATCAGTATGAACCATTATTTCCAATTCTCTAAATATTTACATAAAATAATTAAGTGCACTTTATTTGTGTTAAATTGCGTTCTTTTGCTTAGATATTCGACATGTTCAATCCTTAGTATTCTATTATCCAGAAACATTGGCCTATAGATATTCCACATATTTTTAATCCTTAATGGTGTGCCAATCAGATACTCTTATTTTGTTAACTGCTGCAATAGCTCACTTGAGACACAAAATTATATGGTCTTATTTGAAGATTTTCACCACTGCGAATCAAGCATGTCTAAAGCTTGCTGGTTTTATGGCTCCATGTTCTTTGATATGTTTATACTTACATTTAATTATCAACCTTTTATTCATTGAATTGTGAGAGAACTGTAGTTTCTAAAGGGTGCACCTCTTGCTTATTATTTTGATATCCATATTAGGCTATTGACTAAAGTAACTACTGCAATATTTTATTCTTACTTGTTTTGCAATTAATTGTTTTTAAAACTTTTTGTAATAAGGGCCCTCCAGCAAACCGCTTCGACACTATCAAGCACCTAGCTCCTACTGATTCCATTGAAGATGTTCTAGGAGTCCTCCAGAAACTCGCTCATCTTGTACAAGGACTTTGGGTTCCTAAAACTGCACTCTTTGAAGGAAATCATGGAGTTGAAGGTCTAGCTAGAGATTACATTCTTCTTTTGTTTAGTAAGAATCCTGCAATCAGCTATGAACAAATAAATGTTGCGCGTTCTCTTGGTAAAGCTATAAAAGGTGTGTTGAATGTTTTGGCCATTGAGAGACCATCCTTAAAAGACTGGAAGTTTAAAGAGCTGCCAGACACATCGTTTATGAAACTTCATCCAAATATTGTTAAAGAGCAAGAACAAGCTTGGGGACGTGTGGAGAAATCGATAACTGAAAGTATTTTTGGAAGCAGGAAGGGTCCGATTGGTTTGAAGAATTCTGCAAAGCCTGATATGGCTAATAGGCCTGGAACATCAAAAAATCCTAGTAAAGTTACAGCAAGATCTGCAAATGGAGCAGTTTCTAGAACTCCCATGTCAATTGAAACTCGAGAAGCTCTACCGAAGGCTTTACAGAAGCTTTTCCAAACACACAAGGTTTGCAGGTGAGATTATTAGCTTTCATTGTTTCTTATTTTTAAAACATAGATTTCAATTACTTACTTCTTGTCTTCAGTTGATGTTTGTCTTCATATTTGACCATCTCATTACTTTGATATCAACACTTAATTGCGGGAAACTGTCAGTGAGGACTTCCTCAACACTGGTGAATGCAGAACAATGTCTCCCATTCTTCTTTTCGTTTTACTTTTTTCTAGGCAAAGGCAGTGGTATGGCAAGCAAATAAGTGGGCAATGAGTGTGGCAATGTAGGCCATGCATCAATATTGATTGCAGTTAGGCAGTAGGTGCCAATGTAATAGAGGTGATAGTGAGTGTTGGCAGTTTGGTATACTGTGGATGGGTCTGGTGTCATCATAGTGGGTGGCTGAATAGTAGTAGAGTTGTGCTGACAGTGATCACAGGGTGTGGTGGTGAGTTTTGTAAGGTGGTAATGGCAATACTGATTTGTAGGCTGCAACTCAGGTGGTTTTGATCTGGCTGGGGGCCTGTCCAGGCCATCCAAGTTGTTTGAGTGTCTACACAGACCCAACCTCAATGCCTGGCTGCCTAGCCCAGCCCGGCCTATCGCGAGCTTAAATTGATAAGCTTCAATTGCCAATTTTTATTTATTTATTTATAAATAATTCATTAGGGCTTATTGAGTTTTCAGAGAACACAGGCATTCAAATTTTCTTGTATTTGCATTCTCAGGGGAAATTTTTTTTTCTGATCTTATTATTGTTTTGCTTTTGGGAAATAATGCACTTAAATATCTGATCGTAAAAAAATAATCTTTCAATGATAAAATCAGTGTCTCAGTTAATTTTTTATTTTAAAAAAAATGACATAGATGAATGAGATCTTGATCCTTGACAAAAACCAAAGAACAAAAATTAAAAAAAAAACATCACCACTCATCCAAACAAAAAGTTATGCCGATCCATGCTATACAACATGTAAACATGTATATCTCATCACACATGGATTTATGAAATAGAATGTCATTTCCGAAGTGCCCAACAAAAAAAAAAAAAAAAAAAAAAAAAATTTAAAAAAAAAAAAAAAAAAAATTTGAAATAGAATGCAAACCCTATTTTATTTTGATGGGATTTTGTTTCCATGTCAACGATGATAGATCTAATAGCTGAGTAAATTTTTTTTTTTTTATTGATTAAAAAGTTGAATAAGGGTTGAATGTATGATACACACTACATATGTTTGTCTATATGTTATGTCACATATGTATAAATATTTGAAACATTGGGCTCATGTTGTCTGATGATGATGTTCAAGCCCAGGATGAATTTAATTTGAGTTTATTAGTTTCAACCAAACCCCTGATGAAAAATGAAATTTTTTGTCTAAACATGCAAATAGATCAGGCTGGGATAGAGTTCAGTCCAGCTGACACAGCCCTATTGGTTTGGTTTTGTTGAAATACTAATGTAGATAAATATTAGGCACTATAAATCATATTTTAGTCAATCTGCTTCTCCTACCTAGATCCTTGTAGCACCTGTTGTGCCCTATTGTATAGCATGTTTGCCAGTGTTTGTGGCAACATTTGCCTAATGTAATGCCATCAATTGCTTTATAAGATGCCCTGTTTTGTGCCTCGATTCAATTCTCACTTTCACTGCCTAATTTCTAATTGTATGTGCTTGTGATTTAGCTGTGTGTTCCTTGGCAAACTAGCTAAACTAAGCAGACCTAGCTAGCTCCAAACAAAATGTAAGTTGTGCCATCAACCTCCATCTACTGCTATTCAGTGGCCATCTTAATTGATTTGAAAATAGAGGATCCGATAGGGTATTTAATACATGGGAAAAATTATGCACTTCAAGTTCATAGAAGTAGAACCACTTCACCAAACAAAAGGAATGACTATCCTAATGTATGTATATTTGGTGATTTCTGTGCTGTGCATGACATTGGATTATGCCTTTTGGCAGCTTTCAACAGATTTGCCAACGTTTGCGGGAAATGGCACTTTCTGAGTCCACTCGTCCGAAGGGGGTACCTAAAGACGCAATAGCTGCAGCTAAGGGATTTGATACTCCTCAAGAAGAGCTGCTGGAAATCATTGGTCAAGTTGCTACTAATATCCATGGCGTCTACGTTTCAAAGTCATCCTCAGACCACCCCCAATATGATCCTTTGAGGTTATTCCAATACATACCTTGCTCCGTCAAATAATGTGCTTGATCCTTGAATTAATATGTATATTTCTCTTTTACAGGAAGGTTGTCATTGATCTTCTTATTGCTGAAGGACCTAATGCAAAGCTTAAAAAGGCTTCTATTGTTGAAGCTGCAAAGATGCAACTTAATAGGGATATTACTCCCAATGAATATCAAAAGGTCAGCACAAATTCTAGTCAGTGTAGTTTTGTTGCTGTTTTCGTGTTGAACCTGTATACAAGTAACTTGGATCATTGCGCGTATTAATGAAGTTCGACTGCATATGATTGGACTTTATTTAATTTGAAATCATGGGTTAAAACTGATATCCATCCTTTTCAACTGACTTGTGAATCCCTTGATACATGACATTTCTTGTGGGATAACCATAAAAATTAGTTGAACTTTTAAATGCATGGAAGATTATTGAACATGTACATAACTTTAGCTTAATGAAGTTTTCTGTTGTCCAATATATGTAATATATATTGGCTTCGTAGCATTCATAAAATTAGTGTAGCTGAGATAAAAATGCTTAGATGGGATTGTGGTAAGATTGAGTTAAATAGAATTAGAAATAAATATAATTGTGAAATGATATGAGTTAATTGAAAATAAGTTGAGAAAAAACAGATTAAGATGGTTTGGTCATGTACAATGAATACTACAGATGTAGCAGTAAGGAAAAGTAATATGATCACTATAAATGGAAATGTTATAGAGGGAGGGGAATATCTAAATTGACATGGGATGCGGTAATAAAAAAAGTAAAAAAGGTGGATTTATTTAATTTAAATGAATATAGAGCCATTGACAGAGCATAATGATGGCAAAAAATTCATGTAGCAGACTCCACTTGCTTGGGACATAAGACTTTGTTTGGTTTATATAGCTTGGTAGCATCAGGAGTGTAGTGTTTTGGGGGTGTGGAGGTACATGGTCCCACTTTCCATGTGGCTCAGCCACGACGTCATTGGATCACCTTCTACATATAATTGGATCCCACATGTACCTGGTTCAACCATGCTAGCCTAGGTCATGAGCAGTCTAGGAATGTTCGTGGAGTGGTTGAGAGATCACATGGCCTGCTGTTAGGATCACTGGGCTTTTATGTTGTGGTGGCTAAAATTGAGGGTTCGTTAAGGTGGTCAAGGGACTTGTTTCCACTTGGACATGTGACCAGCTGTGCTGGCTTTTATGGCGTGACCCTCGTATTAATATTACACATGCAAGATAGCCATCTTCTCCACCCCAGACCTCCATCTTTCTTTCTCTCTCCTGCTGTTGCCCAGCCCATCTCAGGTGACTTACCACCATACTTCCCAGAATTGCTCTTCCCATGAGCCTGCTTAGTCTCCATCACCCTAGGGCTAGGTAATAAACTGTATTTCAAAGGATAAAAAAAAATAATATAACAATAATAACAATCTGTGTATATATCCAAATGTACTGTTGCTCTGAATTAACATCCCAAGGTAATGGCAATAATGGTAGACCTTTGAAATGAAGTGAAACCAGTGTGAGCAACCATTCATAAAATTGTCCAAAATGTTTGGGTGCAGAGCAGCTACTCTTCAGAAAATTAAAAGGGGTGAGACGACTTGATGATTATAAAAATGCAGTGCGGATTTACTTGATTCTATTTTTCGAGGGTAATATCTTTTCGAGAAAGTTACTGGGTTTTGATGGTATTGGTCAATAGCAGTGCTGTTAGTTCTAACGATTCGTTATATTATTTTATGACATGTTTGGTTGTGTTTTCATTTTTTAAAAACACAGTTCCGCATCAAGTGATAGAGCGTGCAAAGAAAGATGTACTAAATCATATCTGAGATATTTCTCTTTTGATTTTGCAGGTCTTAAATGAACTGTGTATATCCCAAGGCTCTGCATGGGTCTTAAAACGCGGTGATGGAAATCCCAAGTAATATTTGTTTTGTTTTGTTTTATTTTGTTTTTTTTTTTTTATCAAGGTGGAAGAACAGTTTAGAGATAGGGAAGAGAAAGGAGATGAGCTCAGCCAGCTCTTGTATACGCTGTGTATATTTTCCACAATCAATTCCAAATCACCTCATTGAAGTATGCCGTAGCATAGCATGGTTGCGTTTTGTATTTCATTTACCTCTAATTTTTTGGATGAAGTGCATGGTGGAATGAGTGAATGTTTTATTTTGACTAAGGTCTTGTTTGTCATCTCTTAAAAAAGTCAAGAAGTCACTATCATCATCTTATTTAAGTCACATTACCTTCCTATCACATTACTTCAATTCAATCCATATCTAACTCATATTTCATAAAAAGTTAAAAAGTACACTTATTTAAAACATCTCAAATAATCTTTTATAAATTTTATTTTTTGATTGGAATTTGAGACCACATCAACGGCAAGGTGGTGTATTACTTTTTGAGTGAAAGTTTTATATTTTATTTTTGTGAGGAGAAGATAGAATAACAAAGAATATATAATATATTATTTATAATAAAACAAAATGAATAAAATGAAAATACAAATAAAATGAAAATATAAACCTTAGGCATATTATTTGGTCCTCAGTGAAGCTCAGTGAACAAAAAGAATATATAATATATTATTTATAATAATATATATAAATATATTATATATTCTTTGTTGTTCTATTATCATTTTCTTAATTTAATACCAAATAATATGCAATGCATATTATAATAATATATATAAATATAGTATATATATCAAGTAATTATAATTTAATACCAAGTAAAATATTATAATTTAATACCTTAGGCATATTATAATAATATATATAAATATATTATATATGCAATACATGAGCTTCACTGAGCACCAAATAAAATGAAATTGATAAACCCTAGGCATATTATTTATAATAAAACAAAGGAATGTTTGAAGGTTGGGGGGTTTCAAGAATCTATGGCCTCCTTGGGAAAGTTTGTTATTTTAATAGGTTATTTTAGTTTTTAATTATTTTAGTAGGTTATAATTTTTATGTTTGAGAAAATAGTTAAATTTTTTTGTAGTTGGATATGATGTTTATGAGAGAAAAAGTAAACGATTATAGATTTGAGATAATATTTTGTTTTGTTAGTTATTTTAGTTTATTTTATTTTTTTGGTAAATTTTAACAAAAAAAAAAGTCAAAAATCCACTTCTTCTGGACTTTTATGAATAATTATATTTAATTACTATGAACCTCACCTTCACTTCGGCTACTCGCAAATTGAAACTTGTTAGGTTGAACTTATTTTTTAAAAAATTAAATTTTTTATTTTTGGTGAATTTTAAAAAATATTTTATGTAAAATTTTTATATTTTAGGTACACTTAAAAAGTATAATATTTATTAATTTTTTTAAAAAAAATCATCAAATACAAAAAAAAATGATAATTTGATACATTTTCTTATTTTGTTGTATTCAGTAATTTTTTTTTTAAAAAAAATTGTACAAAATTTTTACTTTTTAAATGGATCTAAAAAGTAAAAAACAATAATTAATTAAAATATTTTAAAGAATTACTAAAAATATAAAATATGAACTGAAAATTTAGAAATTTGTTTTTAAAAATTACAAACCAACCAGAGTATAGTTTTTTTAAAAATATATTGAAAAACATGTTTAGTTTAGTTTTCTTTTTTTTTTCTTTTTTTTTTTCTTTTTTTTCCAAAGGGTTATACTCTAGTTAATAATAATGGCCCGTTTGGTGTAGTTTTTTGTAAAATAAAAATTGGGGCTTTTTTGATAAATTTACTTTCTAAGAGTTTTATTCCATCCAATCCATATTCTTTTTAACTATTCCATTAGGTCCTATTTGAGATAAGAAGACCAAAATACCCTTTTCATCTACTTATGTTCCATTTAGTTCACATTATTTTCTTATGTTTCAATAAGTCCTATGGGTGATATAATTACCAAAATACCCCTAATGTGAATGTTCACACCGTCAATGTGTAGAGGCTTGGCCCGTGTCGATCCTCGTGGGTGCCTGGAAAAGTTCGAGTCGGGCCGAGGCGGGCCCGGCCCATTGACAATGTGAATATTCACATTGACATGTTAACATTCACATTAATAGGAGTGTAAAATTGGCTCGCGTCCCGTGGCAGTGTGAAACCCGCCCGCGACCCATGGGCGGGTCCGTTGACAATGTGAATATTCACATTGACATGTTAACATTCACATTGATATGAGTATAAAATTGGCCCGCGGCCCATGGGTGGCCAAAAACCTGCCTACGGCCCGGGGCAGGCTCGACCCGGCCCGTTGACAATGTGAATATTCACATTGACATGTTAACATTCACATTGATAAGAGTATAAAATTGGCCAGCGGCCTAGGGCGGGCTCGGCCCATTGACAATGTGAATATTCACATTGACATGTTAACATTTACATTGATAGGAGTGTAAAATTAGCCCGTGCCTCGTGGCTGCCCGAAACCCACCCACGGCCCGTGGGCGGCCCAGGCCATTTTTTTTAATTCTTTTTAATTTTTCTACCAAAATTTTATTATTTTCCACAAAAAAAGAAACTAGGTCTCAGACCGAGCCTTGAATGGGCCTTAACGGGGCTGATGGGTCGGGCTGGGCTTCAAAGTGATGGCCCAGGCCCTAGCCTAGGGTCTCGGACTAGGCTCGAGCCTGGGCCCAAACGAGCCTTTCCCGGGCCGGGTCGGGCCAGTCCATGGGCCAAAAAATTAGGCCCAGGCCCTAGCCCTAACACAAGGGTATTCGGGCTTTGGACGGGCCGATGGATTGAGCCTCGGGTCGGGCCGAGCCGGTGGGCCTATGCCTAGCCTTGAGCTTAGGTCAAGCTTAGGCGAGCCTGGCCATTTTCTTTTAATTCTTTTTAATTTTTTCTATCAAAATTTTATTATTTTCAACAAAAAAATACATTGCGCCTCGAGCGGACTGGGCCTCGGACCGAGCCTTGAATGGGCCTTAAGCGGGCCGATGGGTCGGGCCGGGCCGGGCCGGGCTTCAAAGTGATGACCTAGGCCCTAACCTAGGGTCTCGGACATGCTCGAGCTCGGACCGAAACGAGCCTACCCCGGGCCGTGGGTGGGCTTCGGGCAGCCCACGGGCCGCGGGCCAATTCTACATTCCTATCAATGTGCATTTTAACATGTCAATATGAATATTCACATTGTTAACGGGCCGGGCCAGGCCTACCCCGGGCCGCGGGCAAGCTTCGGGCAGCGGGCAAATTTTACACTCCTATCAATGTTAATGTTAACATGTCAATGTGAATATTCACACTGTCACGGGTCGGGCCGAGCCCGCCTTGGGCTGCGGTCGGGCTTTGGGCCACCCACGGGCTGCGGGCTAATTTTACACTCTTATCAATATGAATGTTAACATGTCAATGTGAATATTCACATTGTCAACGGGCCGGGTCGGGCCCGCCCTGGGCCGCTGATCAATTTTATACTCTTATCAATGTGAATGTTAACATGTTAATGTGAATATTCACATTGTCAACAGGCCGGGCCGGGCCCGGCCCGGGCTGCCCATGGGCCGTGGGCGGGTTTCGGGCAGCTATGAGGCACAGGCTAATTTTACACTCCTATCAATGTCAATGTGAATATTCACATTGTCAACGGGCCGGGCCGGGCCCGCCCCGGGAGGCGGGCGGGCTTACTTTTGGCCGCCCATGGGCCGTGGACCAATTTTATACTCTTATCAATGTGAATGTTAACATGTCAATGTGAATATTCACATTGTCAACAGGCCGGGCCGTCCATGGACCGTGGGCGGGTTTCGGGCAGTCACGAGGCGCGGGCTAATTTTACACTCCAATCAATGTGAATGTTAACATGTTAATGTGAATATTCACATTGTCAATGGGCCGGGTCGGGCCCGCCCTGGGCCGCTAGCCAATTTTATACTCTTATCAATGTAAATGTTAACATGTCAATGTGAATATTCACATTGTCAATGGGCCCGGGCCGAGTCGGGCCCGCCCTGGGCCGCTAGCCAATTTATACTCTTATCAATGTAAATGTTAACATGTCAATGTGAATATTCAACATTCTCAACAGGCTGGGTCTGGCCTGCCTTGGGCTGCTGGCCAATTTTATATTCTTATCAATGTGAATGTTAACATGTAATCGTAATATTTTGTAATGTGATATTTACATTGTCAACAGGCCAGGCCGGGCCCGCCCCGGGCCGCCCATGGGTCGTGGACGGGTTTCGGGCAGCCACGAGGCGCGGATTAATTTTACACTCCTATCAATGTGAATTGTTAACATGTCAATGTGAATATTCACATTGTCAACGGCCGGGCCGGGCCCGCCCCTAGCGGCTGGCGGGCTTTTGGCCGCCCTTGGGCCGCGGGCCAATTTTATACTCTTATCAATGTGAATGTTAACATGTCAATGTGAATATTCACATTGTCAATGGGCCGAACTGGGCCCGCCTCGAGCCGCCCATGGGCTGCTGGCGGGTTTCGCGCTGCCTCGGGATGCGGGCCAATTTTACACTCCTATTAATGTGAATGTTACCAATGTCAATGTGAATATTCACATTGTCAACGGGCCGGGCTTGCCCCGGCTCGCGGGCGAGTTTCGGGCCGCCCACGGGCCAATTTTACATCCTACCAATGTGAATTTTAAAATATGAATGTTCACATCATAAAATTGCTAACCGTTTAAAAAATATTTATAAGGGTATCAAAATTAAATATAAGGGCATAAGTGTCCAAGAAAATAGTGTAAATCAAGAAAAATGACTTTATGGAATAAACTATACATACATGAGACTAAATGGGTTAAAAAAATTCCTTCATGGACTTCTTGGGTTAAAATACTTCTAAATGGGATTTATCAATAATTTGCCCAATAAAAATTGATAATAAAAAATACAGGAGTTGAAAATATCATTTATCTAGCTTCTCAATAATGAGTTTTTTTTACAATAAACGTGATAAGCACAAGTTATATTGCATAAATTTTAAAATAAAAAATAATAATAATAATGAACAAGTGTATGGCAACTCTGGAGGTGTAATCGGCTGTTTGGTTTGGATGGTGTGAGAGAAAAGAGAAAGAAAAAAAAAATTAAGGAGAAAAATAAAAACAAAAATGTTTTAGAGCTCTAATAAAGGAGCTCTAATTAGGGCGGGCTTTTACTGTGATAGTAATG